ATGGAAGAAACGAAACAATCATGGACTAAAGTCATAGACATGGTAAAACTTTATATGTTAATCATACAAAAAGTTTTTCAACAAAATTCTGATGATTTAGTACATTATATGACTAAGATGCTGAACACACACAAAAAAAATACTAATAATAAGATTCTAACTGTACGCCAGACACACCTATATATTTGCAGGGTGATGACATACCAATCCGAGTTGGCGACTGGGTACTGATAAAGGTCATCAAAAGGAAGTGTTGGTTGAGTCCAAAGTGGGAAGGCCCATATCAGGTCCTGTTAAAGACGCCCACGGCCATAAAGATTGCTGAACGACCATCTTGGATTTGTCTTTCGCATTACAAGAGACAGAGGTTCATGGTACAGGATCCAATTGGTTGAGGGGAAGTCCGACTACAAAGGGGTGTAGCTGTATAGAAGCTATACGTCTCAACATTAGTGAAGCAGGGAGATCCTCAGCCACTTAGCGTGATTACTGTACTGGGCTAACCATAGTCCTGCAGACATAAGATGATTGACAAAGAGAGTGAAGTGCTCGTAACCTCTCCTCTCAAAATGATGACGACTGAAGACACTCGACTTAAGTCTAAACCATGGCACTCATTCCATAGATTGGGTATTTCACAGCGACTCTCTGTATGCATATTGATAATCATAGGGGTTGTCTTGATACTACCCATCATATTAATCTTGGAAGAACCACTGAGGAACAACACCACCACTGACCACCCATCAACGATGAAAGATCCAGCAGAGCAACACCATTCACACTAGAGTAAAAAGAGAAAACACTGAAGCAACGAATGGTTCTGAATGTTTAAATAACTATGGTGGTATTACTCTTGAATATACATTAGGTGAGGCAATGGCGATCTGTGTTCAGTAATGAATTGCAACAATTGGAACTACACTTACAAACCTTATGACCTATATGTGTGTTTTCATTATTAGGTCCATAACCGATGTGAACAGAATCGACTGCCCCATGGTGGAGGATGGTGTGAAAATTGGAACATGGTAGTAGGATATACAGGTCAATGGATTCCCACAATGTCAGATAAAAATGTATACAGTGACAAAGACATTTGTGATCAATTAAAAATCCAACGTGATTTTTCCAACACCCAAAATCCGATCACTATGTCCCTGAATTGGACTAAATTACCAACTGGGAGTAATTGGAAATCCTCTGGTAAAACAAATCAAACTGAAATATATTTGGTCCTTGGAGTAGATCAGATTTGAGCAGATCCAATGGGATTCATTAGAGTAGTAATTAGGAATGAAATAACGAAACATGACACAACTTTGTCAACACCTGTAACTCAATCTCCCGGTGAAGGGGTGGAAACCATAACTGAAGATTACACTCAAATCTCAGGTAAAAGTGTGGAGGTCATAGCCGTATATATTACACCAAATTAACACTTAAATACATCGTGACCATTGCTACTGGGTATACAACTGAAAATTTGTGGTTATAATGGTTAATGAACACTGCAAAAGAGAATGGTGTTAATGATTGTGTTACATGTGTTGCTGCACAACCACAGCTGTTTACAGAGCCAGCCCCAATTTTCCCAAATGATATCTGGGGATATAACTGTATGTTAAGATTGACACATGAAGCGACCCCTCCAAATTGCACTACACTAGCATCAATCTTCCCACCAATTTCGAATAAAATTAAAACAGGGGCATTTACTCCTCATAAAGGCAAAGAAGACTATGTGTACTATGAAAATGAATGTGTTATGGAAAACCTAGCCTAAGGAGCCATAATGCAGGATAAGAGAATCTGGCATCAATAATAAACAGGAGGGAAATGTTGGAAGAATTTCATTTATTATCATTGCTTCATGCTGTACTGTCAGTTTAAGAAACTATTTGCTTCTCATACTATAATCTAGTGTGCTCAAGACTGATGGAAAAATTTGCCAGACACAGCCACATTCACACCCACCTTCTTACTCCATACTCATTCATATGCTCACACACGATCACATGATATGTAATCTGATACTTTTATAAACTCAATAAAAGTGCAGAGGAAGGGTGTGGCTACTCGGAGTTGATGAGGAAGTTGCCAGAAGAGTAAGCACTCTCCCCTTGCAAGAAAAAGATCAAGACGTCTTTTGGTTGTTTACTTTGTCATCGTATATGTTATGAGTTATGTTTGAACCTAACAGTTAATAAACGTTGGTGTAACCCTGGACATGTCTCCGTAAAGAAAGTTTTATGTTGCCTTGGAGCTATTAGCCGTATTAGCCTCTGGCCATACTACCCCCCTCTGTGTTTACATCCCTCCGAGAGCTGTCGCAGCCACTGCCTGTGAGAAAGTCCATACCGTCACAGTAGGGCTGCGGACACCTTGAGGCTTTTTTAAAATTTTTTTTTTACAATTTACACTACGAGGTTTGTTTTTCTGTATATTTTGTTGTATATATATATCCTTTTTTCCCCCTGTTCTGGTGCATAGTGGCTCTGTGGTAGCATCTTCAATTTCATTGTACCCCTGTGTTACAGTGACAATAAAGGCTATTCTATTCTATTCTGTTCTTTCATCCTGATTTCTGGTGACTTTAATCACGTCACTCTGGACTCTACACTGGCTGACTTCAGGTGCTGGATTGCCCCACAAGGAGTAACAGGACAATTGACCTTCTGTATGTTAACGTTAGTGGTACTTTGGCCCTGAGGCAATGTCTCTGTCATTGGTGTGGAACCCCAGGGTTCACCTCCTGGGCAAGATCGAATCCCGGTTAGGGCGGTTGGTACCTTCCAACCGACTCACCACCCGCAGGAAGGTTCAGGGGGGTTGGTACGGTGCAGTGTGATTTGGGAGGCGGTCATGGAGACTGCTGCCCCCGCGACCCGCTAACGGATAAGCAGATGAAAATGGATGGATGGATGTTAATGTTAAAGAAGCATACAGAGTCACTGCCCTGCCCCCCCTGGGCAAGTCTGACCATAACCTGGTTTACGTCCAGCCACAGTACACCCCTTTGGTCCAAAGGCAGCCGATCGTCAAATGAT